GTGGGGGGGGGGGGCTCGTCGGGATCTGCTCCCGACGGCTCATGTCAGCCATGCGCCCGACTGAGTATGTTAGATCTAGATTGTCGGGATACATCGCGCCCATTATGTAGTATCTACGTTTGCTCCCGACGCCTTCTAGCACGTTGCGCGTATCATCGCGTGCATCTTGTGCGACGCGCATGATGCACACCACCATCCCGCGACGCACCGTAACCGCAGCACCTATGCTCAGCCTATGCTCTTCATGTACCACACACGCAGCCTATGAACCATCGCGCGTCCTAGCCACGCTGCGCTCTACATATCGTTTTGGGGTTTCTGGGTTCGGTGGGTATCTGATCCGTGGCGATTGCAAGATCGCAGTCGGAAACCACATGGGGTCTGAATGGGGCATGTCTGGGGCTTTTGCACATACCCATCTCTTCGTCCTCCTCTGACTCATCATCAGCATCCTCATCATCAACCTCATCATCATCAGCATCATCATGGTCATCATCATGATCACCAGCATCATCGTCGTGATCATCATCATCATCATCATCAGCAGCAACAACATCATCATCATCATCGTGCGCATGCCGTAACAGTTTGTTTTTGTACCCAAGCCTGTTTGAGTTGTGACCAGTCGCCCCGCCATGCCGACACCACGCCAGATTCCAGTTTGTCACTCGTTGGAAGATGCAAACCGTTGGCAGGAACATCAATTTGCGTGTGTGCTTGCATTTGTTCAGCGTGCTCATCCCACCATCGACTTGAACTCATTCGATGCGGTGCTCGATGACATCACTATTAGCACAGCTTTTTCTGGCACTGGTGGCGCTGAGCTTGCGATGGCCGGGGCTTTCAAATGCATCCGATATTTCAGTTCCAGCGGCGCTCGGACATGCACGCCCCGATCGTTGTATGCAATTGAGGTGTCCGAACCATCACAGCGCGAACTCCTGGCGCTTCCGGACCACCCTCACTGCATATTCGGGGACATCACTGGTGGCATCAATCCCCGCGTGAGGCGCGACCTGATCAAGAATGCGTACAGGATGCCGTACGCCCGTTTGTCGGAGCTGTTTAGGGAGCACCCCAACGTCATGTCCAGCCACATGCGTTGCATAGTGCATGATGACCTGTGTCCGCTGCGTCGTGCGGTCGTGCACTTCGCGGGTACGGAGTGTGTGGCTTGGAGCTCGCAAGGCGCCCACGCGGATGCGTCGGGCGCGCGCGTTTTGCCTTGGTCGTGCTGGGTGGGTCAGCGCCTCCTGATCGAGGATGATTTCATTGGCCACGAGAACGTTCCAGAATTTCCATGGGATCTTTTGCGCTCCGAATTGCAGTCCAAGTATCTGTGCATGCCGGAGAACAGCTGTGTGGTATGCGCTGCTGACCACGGGCAGGCGTATCGTCGGTGTCGGCGTATCTCCATGTTCGTGCACAAGCGGGTCGCCATGTTGATGCAGTGCCCCAATCGTCCTCTCTTCTCAGAGCTGGAACGTGCATGTCACAGGGAGTGCGCGTTCACGTGGCGGTCATACTTTTGGGCTAGCGACACCGACCCAGATCTGCTCCAAGAGATAGCTGTGGCGGCTGCCCGCAGGTTGCGGCCGTGGAATCTGCCACCGCCCTGTCCCATGCATTTCCCCCGACCTACCCCGACCCTCTACTCGGTCGCTCGCTCGGCACTCGTTCGGTGCATCCTCGTCGGATTGTGATTGTTGGCCCCAGTGGGCCCCCGCGTTTTGGTTTTGGAAAACCGTCCGCGTCGATTGGAGCAATCCGCCCGTCGCGGGCGTTTTGCTCCACGACGGCCCTAGAGCTCCAGTGGGCAGTCATGGCATATTCCGCGGGGTCGCGCCCAGGAGTGTGCAGTCCGAGGCGGGCGATCCATCACTGCAGGCCTTGAGAGCGTCGCTGGTCAAGGGGCCCGCCGACGCTGGCCTTCTCATTCTGGAGTTGCGCAACCGAGACTCATACGCCGCGATGACTTCCAACATGTCGCCAGGAGCTGAGTGCGTTGCCGCGCTGGGACAGACGCCAGGGGTTCATAATCACTGCACCTGGGGCGGCCGCAGTCTCTTCACCATCATCAAGCACTCCGAGTTCTACTACAGTACCGCCCACAATCGTTGGTTGACAGCGGCTGAGCTCCTGACAGTTCACAATTATCCTCTGCGGCCCGAGCTTTCATTTTTCGGGTTGGCGAGTAGCTTTTCACTGGGCACTGTGCTGGCTGGTAGGTCCGTGCACCAGGTGAGGGGGCAGGTGGGTAACGGCCTGCCGCTCTGCATGGTTGGCCCTCCGTTTCTCTGGATCGCATGCCTGCTTGCGTTGCATAAGCACGACCAGCGTGCATCCGTGGGTCAGCTAGAATCCACGTATCGTAGGTTGAGGTTGCGTGTGTCAGACGCGTCAGACGCATGATGAGGGGGCTCGCGCGCGCCTGACAGTTGCACGTGGCGCGCCGGCGTGCGCTACTACAAGGCACATGCGTCCCAGGGCGCCCCAGGCCCGTGCAACCACGCATCGTGTGCAATACGCCATGCGTGTGATCAGCTTCCGGGCCCCCAGCTTTGGCCCCTTTCCCTCGAACTACTTCGCAGACTCCATGGCCCCTCTTCCTCCCCTCCCCCTGCCCTGACCCTGGGGCCCTGGGGGCCCTTCGCTTCTAATATTGGACTCTCGCTTGGCGGGCCCGCCCGCCAGCGTGCGCCGCGGCTTCGCCTGGCTCGCTTCTGTTCCTGTCCATTCCCCCTGCAGCCCCTGCAGTGCTTGCGCTCTGGAGCTCTCACGCGGGCTTGGAGCGGGCGCCCCAGGAGGAGGAGGAAAAGGAGGAGGAGGAGAAGGAGGAGGAGGAGGAGGCGGAGGAGGAAGAGGTGGATGATAAGGAAGAAGAGGTGGAGGAGGAGGAGGAGGTCCCCGGGTCCCCTTCCATTGGCACCCGCGGCGTGTGCGTAGCCCCATGCATGGGCGCATAGCTCCTGGTCTGCGGTGGGTGCCCGGCCGCCCCTGGCCACCTTGCCACCTGCTGCGCGGGGCCAGGTGACCAGGTGTGCTGTCTGGGGAGGAGCGGGGCGGAGCCATGGCATTTCGAGGTTCAGGCCGCCCAGCGATTGTTCGGATTGCTAGACTGCTAGAGTGCCCGCCATGTTGGCGGAGCTGACATGCGCCTTCATTCGGGCGACGAAGTCAATGCATATCCAGCGTTTCCTGGCCAGGTCCACCCTGGACACAGGCGCGCCCCCCTGGCCAAGCCAGGAGGGCGTGGCGCATGAACCGCGCAGTGGATATGCATCGATTTCGTCGCCCGATTCATCATCCTCTCCGTGGCGATCGCATGTGCGTTCGTGGTGGGCATGGCCGTCGGGCGGCGGCTGGCTCCGACTCCAACTAGCTCTTCTACGCCACCTACAACCTCGTCTGCTTCTGCGCCAGCCTCGCCTACCGCTTCGCCTCCGCCGCCTCCGCCTCCGTTTGTGTGGGTTTCGCTGCGCGGCAAGGTGTGCCACTGCCGCGTCGATTGCCCTGCCGCCAAGATGGCAAGCGGCCTGCAATCCTTTCCTCAGTGCAAGAAGTGCAAGTGACCACTGACGACAGCACTTGCGCTGCGAGTTGCTTGAAACAATCATCCCATCCTTCTCCAAGTCCTCCTCTTCCTCGTGGCTCTCGTGGGGCCCTCGTGCAGGGGCCGCAACAAATGACTATGACCCCCAGGGGGAAGTCCACGCACCCCCTCCTGCCAGGAACCCTTTTGGCCCCCCCCCCCCAGGGTGCATAGCTCGAGATGGCACCGCGGCCGCCCTATGCCCCCAAGAGCGGTCTGAGGGGGCCAAGCCACTCACCCGCGCCGCGACCCGCCCGCAGCCCATCGGCCCATCGGCGCCACAAACCACCCGCCCACAACAACAACAACAACAACAACAACAACAACAACAACACCAACAACAACAACTACTACTACAACTACAACAACAACAACAACAACAACAGCAACAGGGACGCCTGGCACCAGGACTGCGCCGACCTATGGGCAATAAGGCACTTGTCTACAAGGCGATGGTGCTATAAGGCTAAGGGGTTACAGGGCTAAAGGCATATCGCGAAAACGCTGCAGGGCGATACTCAGGCAAATTTTTGAAATTTGCCTGAGCATCGCCCCTCAGTGTTTTTCGCCCTCACCCTTTTGCAGGCCTCAGGGACGCCTGGCACCAGGACTGCGCCGACCTATGGGCAATAAGGCAATAGTCTACAAGGCGATGGTGCTATAAGGCTAAGGGGTTACAGGGCTAAAGGCATATCGCGAAAACGCTGCAGGGCGATACTCAGGCAAATTTTTGAAATTTGCCTGAGCATCGCCCCTCAGTGTTTTTCGCCCTCACCCTTTTGCAGCCCTCAGGGACGCCGGCAACAACAACAACAACAACAACGACAACAACAACAACGACAACAACACCACCAACAACAATCACAACAACATTAACACCATTAACAACACCACCACCAACAGCAACAACAACAATAATCATTATCCTCCGACCGTTCGCCCCTGCCCCCCGGGCCCCACGCACGCACGCACGCGCACGCACGCATGCGCACTCACGCACACGAAGTGTCCATGCATCTATCCATCCGTCCATACATACATGCCCACCACATACATGCATGCTATATAGATACGTACACAGTACATTGTCATTTGCAAACAACGGGAACAAAAACATGAACCCATGGTCCGCCGTGGCTTTCTCGTGATCCCCCCTTGGGCGCCTGCAGCGAGTGAAAGGCAGGGCGACGTGCGCGCCGTTCAGGCCCATGACGGAGCGGCACCTGGGCACGAGATAGCCGCCGCTTCTGTCCCGCCCCACCTCATCGCACCATGCCTGCCAACTCTTCCTCTGGCCGCTGCTGTTTTTTGCCCCAAGCTCCCGAGCTGCTGTCTCTGCCACACAGCAGCAGACGCACCGTCGGAATCCCCCGCCACCGACCCTGCAGCGATCGGCGTCGCGGACACCATGGGCATCCCAGGCAAGGCGGCCGGCGCGTCAACCGCAGCGTCGTCAGCCGCTGGCTCCCTCGACCTCGCTGGCTTGCACAACGAACGTTTCTGGCAGAAGCTGGGGCCAGGGAAGACGATCGAGGACAGGTTTTCGGACGTCCACGGGAGCAGGCGCTGGCGCACGATACTCAGCGTGTACGTTGAGGCCCGCGGCGTGTCGCTCCAGTGGTTCCACGGGCACCTGCGCGAGGAGAAGTGCCTCGGCCGCTCTGAGCACAACAGGCGCAAGGTTGACTCGAACGTTCGGGTATATGCTCGCGGCATCCTGGAGAAAGGTGTGACCGCGCTGGTCCGCGGCAGCCCGATCGCCATCGCGACAGATCAGCCATGGGGTGTACGATATGCTCGCAGGGGCCACGCTGATGGAAGCGTTCTACGCGGCGCACGAGGCAGATCCCAGCAACGAGTACGTTATCCAGGCCATCGAGGACGGCTACCAAGACTGCCTCATCCTGAAGGCCGCCACCCCCGAGGACGTGCTGAAGTATGTCAAGGAGGAGCACAACGGCTACCACGTGGGCCTCGGACAGAACCACATCGAGAAGTACGAGGCCGCAGTGCAGGCCGTGGAGCCCGCTTGGAGGGTCGAGTGTGACACCAAGTCCTACACCGTTCAGAGCTGCCCCAAGAAGGGACCGTTTTCCTACGCATCGCTGTACGCAGAGTTTGTGAAGACGAAGTTCAAGCAGATGTTCCCCGAATGGGAGCCGTTCGATAACGCCAAAGCGTTTTGGCACAATATGGAATCCCTCAAGCTGGACACGTGGTACAAGGACGTGTGCGAGAGGAAGTGCGACTTCATGCATCGCGACTTCGACGTCAACTACGTGCTGAACCTCAACAATGCGATCAAGTCGACGATCTTCATGAAGCAATTCACCGACCTGTTCACAGCCGACGTCCTTGCGGCCGCCATGAAGGAACTGCTTCAGTTTGGCTTCCCCACAGACCCGCACTGCGACAAGACTCATGCCTTGGAGTACCCGTTCTTGCTCACCAGCCGTGCCAACGGAATGTCCTTGATCAAGCGCCTGTTGGCCCCCATTAGCCTCTCCAAGGTGTGGCAGGAGAAAATCGGCGGTGGCAAAGATGCACAGGCAGCGCTGGATGAGCCCACCAAGAAAAAGAGGCGCAAGGCTAGCAAAGCCCAGTCTGCCGATGGCAAGCTCAAAGATATGATCGCCGCACAGATGGAGGACCCGAGAGGCGCGGTGGCCAGTGACGGGCGCAACAAGCTGTTCCTGGACGACCTCATCTTCGTTGTCGTGGCTGGGCCTCTGGCCGAGTTGACGGGCGACCAGATTGACTGGACAGTCGTCGGCCGTGGCTTCCGATTCGGCCTGACTCTCATGCTCGAGGGGAAGCTCACGCTGAACGGGAAGGTGTTTGATAAGTGGTCTACAGCCAGGAAGGAGATCCGAGCCGAGTCGGTCAGGGGACATATCGTGCCACTTGCCGGGGCGTTGGGGGTTGACGGTGGAATTGCGAACGCCGACAGCATGAGCGTGGACTCTCTCGCCGACGCCGCGCTCGGCCTCCTCGAGGTGGACGCGAGCGCTGCGACCGACATGGTGGCGGTGTCGAGTGCGATGTCCACGCGCGTGCCGGCGTACTTGGAGGCCATCTCGAGGGACGCATGCTTCATGACGCAGATGGCGGCGATGGACCCCCTCCTCCTGCTCAGCTGCTCATCAGATCATCCGCCTACCTGATGCCTCCCTGTCATGTATCCTTAGTCCTCGCCTCTCCTCCCCATCCGTTCGTCCACTCCTGCGGCCTGTTTACATCCTCCCTCCGATCACTTACCGAGAGGGGTAGCGTCGGCGTCGGCATCGACGAACTAAACATGGGGGCCGATCAACTAGGGGCGGCCCTGATTCCTGACGCGTCTCTTCCAACTATTCGAGCGCCCTCGGCCCAGAGGGCTCTAGGAAGGAAGGGTCGGGGCCGGGTTCGGGGCCCCCTCGGGGCGACGGTTGATTTCAAACAGCACGTGCTGGGGCCCTCTTGTGTCTAGCAGCCACCCTCGGGCCCCTCGAGCCCCTCGGGCCGCCCCTCTCTCTCGGACCTTCTGACTCTCGGAGGTCTCTTTGGAGCCACAGTTGGGTCATCTCGGGATCCTGGGGCCCTCTTGAGCGCCGACTGGCGCGGCGACGTCGATGCCACCCCTCCCCGGGCCCCTCTCCCCCCCGCCCTCGCACCGAGGAGCGGATGTCGCAGACCGTCAACGTCTCGATGCACCACGCCTTCTTCGCGTGCGGCCAGGCGGCGTTGGCCGCGGTGGCCTCCCTCCCCAAGGATGGCAGCGGGCGGACGACAGCATGCGTTTCCGACGTGCTGACTGCGGCCCAGCCCACTCTGTTCGAGCTCTTTCCAGAGAGGTTCAAAAGAGGAAAAGGCACCCATGCCGCTTCCTTCGTTTTCCCCCTTTTTAGCCTCCTCCATGGCGGCCCTCGCCTCGTCACCACCGCTGGATTCGCTTCGAAGTTCGAGTCTGAACGCACCCCTGGAGAAGTCTGGGGAGTAGGAGCGGTATCGGTACCATGTGGTTTCTCCAGAGGTGGGGTGCTTGGGGGTCTGCGATTCTGCAGGCCCGGTCCGAGTGCCCCGACGTGCCAATTGATGATCTCAGCTGCGGGATCATTCCTGATGGGGAGACACTCGATCGTTTCTTCGGCATGCGAGTGAACTACGTACTCCACTTGCTGGACCAGCTTGCGTGCGGCGAGGGCAGGGTGTGCTGGCGCGTCCAATTCACTCATCACGACTCCCCCCAGCCAGATGACGATAAGCGATGGCGCCCACTACTGGTTTTATCTATGCATACATATATCCACTGATATGCACGCAGAGAGATTGAGCGAGGAGAGAGAGAGAGAGAGAGAGAAACACAAAAAAACGCAACCGCATAAAACACAGAGAGAGAGAGAGAGAGAGAGTCATACTACAACTTGTGCAAGCACGATGGGCGTCCAATGACATCTCGAATTCGATGCGTCGCAGGCAGCTCGCGCCTATATCCCTGTCCGTCCAGAGCGCATCGCTGCGGGTTCGATGGACGCTTTGGCGATGCTGGGCGGCGTCCGTCGGTGGATCGAGGAGTGGGGCAGACGATGATGATGGTGATGAGGTGATGCTGATGATGAGGATGATGATGACGATGGCGATGATGATGCTGCTGATGCTGATGATGAGGATGGTGATCAGGATGGTAATGATGCTGTTGCTGCTGCTGCTGCTGCTGATGATGATGATGATGAGGAGGAGGAGGGTGATGGTGATGATGATGTGCTACGCGTGATTCTAGCTCGACCCCCCCCCCCCCCTGCGCACCCAACGGGCGCGTTTTGTTCCCCGGGCCGTGAGAACGCTTTGCGGCCAGAGAAACAACTGTCACCCCCCTTTCTGTCAGTGGCTGGTGTTTGTGTGTTGGGAAGGGCGGTCAACGCCAGTCCCTAGCCACCCTCGCCTTCCCTGAGCAACCACACTGGATGTGGGACATGCGTATCCTAGTGAAGCGTACTTCCCCAAGCCAGCCCGAGGGGGCGAAGACCCTCCAGGAACGCACCGAGAGGGCTCCAAGAGGCCACCCCAGTGGGTGCATAACAAGAGCCTCGAGTTATATACGCCACGGGGGGGCTTCTTGGGGGCATCTTGGGACCCTCTTGGGGGCCGCCTGGAGCCGTCTTGGGGCCCTCTTGGGGCCCTCCAAGGGCGCTGGAGAGGGCCCGCGAGGGTCTCGAGAGGGCGCCAAGACGGCTCCAAGGGGTGTATAACAAGAGCCTCGAGTTATATACGCCACAGGGGGGGCTCTCCCCGCAGCGGGGGTCTCTATGGCCCTCTATGGCCATGGTTCGGAGACTGGCGCCCCCCCCTCACCCTCCTCTCGGCGGTTCAAAGATGGGGTCCTGAGGGATGGGGTCCTAAGAGCAAAATTCCTTAAACGACGTACATTCACCTTTGAATCCCTTCTTACCCGTGGAACCCCACCCCCTCATCCCCCATCCCTCAGGACCCCATCTTTGAACCGCCGACCCCCCGCCCTCCCCCCCCCCAGGTCACTGCCGACGACGCAGCGTGCCTGGTCAAGGACCTCCGCGGGCTTGCCAAGGAGATCGCCATCAAGGATCTGAGTTTGCCGTCGGAGACCTGGGTCCGCTGGTGGGCAGATCTTTGCCAGCTTGGGCGCAAGCAGCTGGAGAACACCCCGATGTTCCTTCCACCGTTCCTCGGCCACGTGGCCCCGAGCCCAGTGAGGCGCACCCCAGGCGCGCTCGCCCTCGCGCCCAGCGGCGCCGACGACCCCGCTGCGGCGCCGCTCAGCGCTGAGGTCGCCATGGCCTGCGCGCGGCCGCCAGCGGCTGGTCCAGCCTCGGCGGCTGGGGGCGGCGAGGGAGCGGCTGGCGCATCGCCCGAGGGCGCCGGGGACACGGCTGGCTGTTCCTCCAAGGGCGCCGAGGGCGATGCTGGCGAACCCGCGGGCACCGAGGACACGGCTGCCAGCTCCGCCAAGGGTGCCGGGGGCGAGGCTGGCACGGGCGCCGACGCCGCGGTCGCCAACTGCGCCGACGGCAAGGAGGATTCGATGCCTCCTAGATGGGGTCCGAGTAGGTGGGGACGGAGGATTACGCCGCATCGCCGATACATCGGCGATGCATCGGCGATGCTCTTGCGACGTCGGAGATGCATCGGCGACGTCGGCGCGGCGAACACTGGGCCACGCATGGAGCCGCATCGCCGATGCATCGCCGATGCACCAGCGATCTAGCGTCATCCTCCGACCCCATCTACTCCGACCCCATCTAGGAGGCCTAGAAGGATGCCGAGGGCGGCGATGGCAAGTCCAGTGGCGCAGCCGCGGGCGCTGTCCCCGCCGCGGCCGTCGCGACCCCCGTTGCCGCGGACGCCCTCGTCCCCATGGCCGACCTCGCGGTGACCGTGGTGCCCCGCGCCGGCGTCATGCTCACAGACGCCATTGCCGCGTGGCAGTCGGCAGAGATGGGCGCGGCCACGGGGCAGGTGGGGCCGAGATACCCCAACTCGGGCGCATCCTTCCGAACCCCGCTCTTGTGGTCCCACGGGCCCCGCATCTATTTGCATCCATCCCCCCTCACTTCCGTTGGGGTCCTGGGGCCATGTTGGCAGGGCCCTTGGGTGCGCCTGGGTGGGTGTGTCTGGGCCCCACTAGGTTGTGCGTTCGTTCATGCTGGAGCTGGAGGCGTGGATCTTCAAGCAGGCGTTTGCCAACTCTGGCCAGAAGTCCGCAGTCGAACCCGACGAGGGGTACGGGTTCATCAGGCTGCGCTCCGCGACCGATGCCAAGCAGCTCGTGCTCGTTGACGCCGCCAAGAGGGCGGTGCTCAACTTCGCCGGGAGGGTGACGCGGTACCCGAGGAAGGGCGCGCTCAGAGTCTGCGCGCAGTTCGGCATGGTCTTCTACCTCATCCCAGAGGAGCTGAATGACCTCAGCGCCTCGGACTCCTTTGTCCCGGCGTGGGCGGTCACCGAGAAGAAGGTCAGTCCCGACGCCGCCGCCAAGCCCAGCAGGAAAGCGCCCGCCATCAGTATGTCCTTGCAGTCGGATATTGTGGCGTTCGAGTTTTCGTTCCAGAGCGTGCTGAAGGTCGAGACGCTCACGACTGACGTGACCCTCTTCCGCCTCGTCCACGAGGCCGACTTGCAGGCTTCTGGCGCGACGGTCGAGCTGACGCGCGCCCCGTTCCCAGAGGCCACGACAGCCCAGGTGAGCGTGCCAAAGCCAGGCATGATGATCACGAAGGCCGCTTCCGCCGAGAGGATCCCTGCTGCGTGGAGTAGCTGCAGGTTCCTGTTCCAATGATTACGTTTCGCCCTCGCACCGCGCCCGCCTTTGGGGGCCGTGGGTTTCACGGTTTCACGCGGTGTGGTGTGATCATGGCAGGAGTCCCAACTGAGATGATTATGCGGGTGAGGATGGCACCTTGTGAGCACGATGTTTATGATGACGATGGTAAATGGTAACAGTGGTGATGGTCACGACTACGATGACGATGGCCATGTACATGATGATCGCGATGTGATGGTGATGACGACGCCAATGGTGATCACATGCACTCTAAGAGTGACGATGCTGACGGTTTCCCTGAGACTGAGATGCTGCCGATCAACCCACCAGCCCGAAACCGATGCACGCCTCCGTTTTAATTTAAGCGTTCAGAGACGTTCAGGCGCGGGGAGCCTGACCTCTGGACTGAGGGACCCTCAGTGTGCGGGTGTGCCACAGGGTTTGCTGCATGTTGGCGTCTGTGCGCGTGCGTGGTCCGTTTCAAACTTTCATGCCCGCCCCGCGCATGCTGGCCGCAACCTCCCACCCTGCTCTCGTCTTTGGGCCATCTTGTGAATTCCGGGGGGGGGGGTTCCAGTGGGTCCAAGACACGCTTCCGCGATCGCGGAGGCGTTTTAGGGGGTCAGACCGCCCATGCTGGAAACCATCTTGAGCGCTCGGCCCCTTTGGACTGCCCTGGGGCCCTTGGGCTCTCGGGCCGTGTTGGGGGCATGATCTATGGAAGCGCCATGGGGGATCGGAACATCCAAACTGGAGGCCATTTTGAGCGCCTGTTGGGCCGTCTTGGGGCCCGTGGCGCCGTTGGTCTGTTCTGGGCCGTCCTGGGGGCTTTCAGAGAAACAGGAAACGCATCCATGATCATGTAGGCGTTCTTGGGGTCCCAAACAC